CTATCTAGCAAGCTAGCTATCTATCTAGCTATCTATCTATCTATCTAGCTATCTACCTATCTAGCTAGCTATCTTGCTAGCTATCTATCTACCTATCTAGCTATCTAGCTAACTATCTATCTAGCTATCTAGCTATCTAGCTTTCTATCTATCGATCTATCTATCTAGCTATCTATCTAGCTACCTCTTTATCTATCTAGCTATCTATCTAGCTATCTATCTAGCTATCTATCTAGCCATCTATCTATCTAGCTATCTATCTAGCCATCTATCTATCGAGGTATCTAGCTATCTATCTCTCTAGCTATCTATCTATCTAGCTGGGCTATCTATCTATCTAGCTATCTGTCTACCAAGCTATCTATCTATCTATCTATCTATCTATCTATCTATCTATCTATCTATCTATCTATCTCTATCTATCACATGTAATCCTGTCAGCTTTCCAGAGAAGGTTAGTTCGCAAAAACCAACTAATGTAACTTGGGTTTAAGTTTAAATTAAAAAAAGCGGGAGGGGGGGATTGGGGGGAGGGCGCAGCGCCTCCCCCCAAAGCAGAATGCAAGCACCTCTTCTCACATGTTACGTTGCTAGTTTTCAAGAGAAGGTTGGTCATGTGATACTCAGGGATGTAAATACTGTGCAAAATGCATCTTACATGAAAATCAAGTATTTAAAGCAGGCAAAGCAAAAAAAAAACAGAGAAGCAAAAAAGCAGAGAAGCAAAGAAACAGGAAACGCACAAAAGCAAAACAGCAGAAAGGCAAAGAAGCAGGAAAAGCAGAAAGCAGGAAAAGCAGAGAAGCAAAGAAACAGGAAAAACAGAAAAGCAAAAAAGCAGAAAAGCAGAGAAGCAGAGAAGCAGGAGAAGCAGAAAAGCAAAAAAACAGAAAAGGCGAGAAGCAGGAGAAGCAGAAAAGAAAAGCAGGAAAAGCAGGAAAGCAGAGAAGCAGGAAAAGCAGGAAAAGCAGAGAAGCAGGAATCCAAAAATAATTCCTAAACCTGATCAAAAAAAACTCCTAAAATAATTAGCCCTCCTTTATTTATTTATTTATTTATTTAGACATACATATGTATATCTCAGTGTGTTTGCGTATACATTGTTAAAAATTTACATGTATATATATATATATATATATATACATACATATCATATACACATATATGATGGTACCTCTCCCAAGACACATCGAACTGCACGTGGTGCCATTACTTGCACCTGCAACGCTACAAAATTGATGGGACGATGTGTTACTATGTTCGTTTCGACTTGGTCGTACATTTGATGATACAATACTTTGGTCTGTCAACATCCATGAACATCCCACAAACGCTCACCTCCATGCCGCAGAGGCTTTAAAAGCAAGGTTCCTACACATGTGGCTCCTGGAAACTAGTGATGTGAAGGGTCTTGTGACAGAGAGATGCGCATGCTCGACTCTTAGCAAGAATGAAGAGGGCGGCTTTCTAGCAAACAAATGTTCCAGATCACGATGAGTTTCCCTGATGTCGGTATTCTGTAGTGGGGAAGTTGGTGGTTTCCATGATCTTCATGTTGCTTTGCACTTCCTTCATGTTCTTGTGAGGAAAACAGAGAGTATGTGTAGGTGTATATGTATGTGTATATATATATATATACATTGAATATATGTATGCGTATATATGTAAAGGGGGGCAGGGGCAAAAATAACATTTTTTTCAAGCTGCAAAGATTCAATTCTACGCCCCCGTAAAATCCTGGAAACGCCAATGAAACAACCTCCTTCGGGTCGCTTTAGGATGGATTTTCGACCAAACTTACGTGCCACTCGAATTTCGTGAATTGCAGCTGCTGACGAACTTCCTTCAAACGGTTCTGTTGCAAATCACACAAAAGTCCGACGTTCCTACAAGCGCAAGCCCATTCCTTGTTTTTAATGGCAACTTCAGGCCGATACTCGTAGGTTGCCATATCTTTCGTGTCCTAACAGATTGGGGTGGCATACAACCTGCGCAGAACCTGCTGCCTGATGTCTTTGCTTCTGGCAGCAAGCGTAAGTTGCAAGCTTTTTTTGTGCTGCTGCAGGACAATTTGGTGTGGCATTTGCCAAAGCAATGGTACCACCCAAGTGGCACTAAAAAAGAAAGGAAGATTAAAGGAAAGAAAGCCAAGGAACAACTTGAAAAGGCACAGAGCAAGGCTGGACACACCACTGCTGTAACTTCTGTGCTTTTGGCATTGTCATGCGACCATTTATATACCTTTTCAGGCTTACAAAGCATCCTTGAAGGAACACAAGGCTTTGGATAAGAGAAGAGTGGCCCAGGCATGGTTTTATGTTTGCGGTTCCTGCCACCAGCCGTTCTGCTTGTAACATGCCCCTAGGGCCCTAGCAAATCTTTAGCGCCTTGCCAGGAGCTGTGCAGCTTGAACACAAGGAATGCCCCTCAAAGCAAGTGGAACTCAGAGGTGCAGCATCCATTGACATGTTTGCAAATTTATTTACCAGTTGTTTGCATGTTCTATGCACATGGATCCCCTCCTTTGCATGAGCGGACTTTTGGGTGGGAGGCTAAGGCCCATAGGGATGGCAATGTGACAAGCTGGGTGCATCCTGTAGGGATGCCAGTAAATCTATTAGCAGTGAGAAGAACAGGAACAAGAAAAAAGGGGGTTTCTCTTTTTGCTGGGTTCGCAAGCTCAGATTCGCCAGGACAAGCGGCGGCGAAGGAAACGAAGCTACATAAAACCAATAGAGACGGAACAAATGCATGTGAATCCTGCGACGCTTCAAAAAGAAGACCATATCAAACAACAGGCAAAAAGGATTTGCTGATTTTGCAGGAGAGAAAGGATGTAGAAGCAAGCCAGGCAAGCTAGGCTAGTTAAGATGTTCACAATGGATTCATTAAATTGTACTCCGTAAGACTTCTAAAGTACATGCTCCACCCCTTAAAACCATTGGGTCTCTGTTGGGTGCACAAAGTGACGAAGAAACCAAAAAGGGTATATACCTGCCCACTCTGTGGTGTGACTTGACCCCCTACTCTCTGCGTTATGCATTTATTACGCAAGGCTGAAAATCGATAAATTTGCAGACCCTGCATGCGGTTGCAGCCCTTCCAACCAAAAAGGTAACCTGACAAGTCATTCACACACGCACTAAACAGAAAGCGAGCGAGAGACAGAGACAGAGACAGAGACAGAGACAGAGACAGAGAGAGAGAGGGAGAAAGAGAGAGAGAGAGAGAAAGAAAAAAAACACGGTAAAAAAATAGAAAGAGAGCAGCCGCTCTCACATAATCGGGAAATGGTGATTCTGCTGTATTTTCGAACTGTGCTGATCGCCCCCAAAGCGCGCGATCCAGCCCTGCCTTCCCAATCAGCTGCTGCATTTGCAGTCCCTGGGACACATCCTTGGACAAGATTCTGACCCCACGATTCTTAGACATTGAATCTCCTCGTCTAGTCTAAAGAGTGTACAGCGTCCGACACCTGCCCTTAAAAAGCTGGCACATCATCCTGCTTGCCAAAACAACAAGAAATCAAGGGAATACTTGCATGAAAACCAAATGGAATGGTTTCGAACAAACTCTTGCCCCAAGGAGTGCAACTGCATTCGCTGCCAAGCTACTGCTAGTCTGGGCCTTGGAATGCGGCCGCCTTCGAATGCCTGGAGTGCAAACTTTCATGGACAGCACTGTTTTAAACTTGCACGTATGACTGATTTTGAACCATGTCGAATCTTTTTGAATCATTTTGAATCCTGTTCAGTTTTGCCCCCGTTGAAAGGTCTGCGCGCGACCCGAACAAGAAGCAAAGGTAGCATGTAAACTACAGGTTTGATGCCTTCATGACGTGTTCTGGAGGCTTGTGCAGGCCATCGTTGTCCAAATTCTGAAACGGCCGAGCTCCTCGATGCCAAAGCAGGTTTCAAAAATAAAAAAAAGGCCCAGCGTGCAAGTTCTGCAACTCCCATTTTGAAAGATCAGTCATTAGCAATACCAGATCAGCTGCTAGATAACTATATATGATACATCTCCTCTTTTCCTCTTTACACTCAGGCACTTTGTCCAGTCATATACAGTGTCACAGCATTAGGACTCCAGCGCTCCTGTGCACATGAACCAAAGAATCAATCCAAGCGCAAAAACATCCGCCGCAATGACCTGCTCCTGCAGACTTTTTGAATTCAAAAAATGACCGCATACATTCTGCATGCCCTTTTCATCCCTTTTCTGTGCTTTAAATTGCTGTCAATTGCTTTGGCGTGTCTGCAAGGGCGGCACAGAGAGAATCAAACAGTCTAGAGAGCTGATCTCTGAGAGCCATAGAACTCATTATCTCAGAAACTCCATCGCCATCGGCCGAAACTGGGACTATGTCACCCTCCCTGACTGTCCCTGACTGTCCCCCTGACTGTCCCTGCCAAAGTCACCCCTGATTCAAAAGTCCTCCGTAGACTCTTTTCGCAGAACCTGCCCCGTCTAAACAATTGGGCGCAACTTGGTGAAGGCAGACCTAGAAGCCGGATTCTCGGCTAATTATCTTTGTTTCGGCTCAAAATGTTGAGTTGACGATGGGTTCAATCAGCATTTACCTTGCGACATGTCGGTCAGCCAATGTCAAGTGGGTTTGAAACATGTGCACAAACACGCATACCGTCATACCGTCCCTCCCCCTCGCCTCTCCCTCTCCCTCTCCCTCTGGCTCCCTCTCTCCCTCTCTCCCTCTCCCTCTCTCCGTCTCCCTCTCTCTCCCCTCCCGTCTCCCTCTCTCTCTCTGTCTCTCTCTCTCGCTCTCCCTCTCCTTCTTCATTCTTTGAAATCTGTCTGCGCCATACTCGCCCGCATACATTTAAATGCATACATTGCGCCTGAGGAATGCTAGGGAATTGCAGTCACGCCACGGGGACAGCATGACAGCTTGAATTGAGCTGACCTTTATCAGACTTTATCACTCAACGCTCTTCTGTCCTCAGTACATCCCCGTTACTCCCATGGGAATTCTTCAATTTGTCAAGGCTTACTGTCAATCTTTTTTGATCCTCTATCCTTCATTTGTCAGAACTGTGGATGATTGACTTCTATTCACTCCTGGATTGTCTCAACATCTCGACATCGGAGCTGATCCCGCCTCTGGGGGTGAGTACAAGCAGCTGTCCAGGTTTTCGGCATCAACAACTGCCTCCCACCAGGATCGGACTGGAGCACATGGTGACAACTGCGCCAACCCATCCGTCAACTCAGTGAAAACATCACTTCGGATGTCAAACCCAACCTGTCCGGAATGGGTTGTCCACATGAAGGATATTAGCCGACACCATCTGACACCCAAACAAAAAGCCAAAAGCCAGACTCGTCCAATCAGGATGATCTTCTTGAGTGCCCTTTTTTGATTTGCCAGGAAGCTTGGAATCCGAACGTTTCCCTACTCTAAAGTGAAAAGAAACACAGATTTTCCTCAAAGCATCGGCATTCACAAGGATGCCAAGCACATATTCGCAATCAGATTTCATTATATAGGCTATGTAACTGATATGCCCTTTGCATTCAAGTGTTGTTTCATGATCTGGTTTGAATTTAGAGCATCAGGTTGCTCAGCCTGGTGCCGATGCTCCACTGGCGACAAAGCACCACATGGTGATAGACGCAATTCCAGATTTGTGCCTCAAAGCAAGGCAAGAAAACGAAACATGACAAGACCTTTCCACAGAATTGAAATTAAAGGACCGGATACCCCCACATGTCAATTTCTTCCAATCAGTAGCCAAAGAAAGGTGAAAATGGGATGAGAAAGGCGGGGAAGAGAAAAGAGATGGTGGAGGATCGGTGTGTGCAAGTTCCGTGTAAAAGTGTTGTTGGTGAAAGAAGTGTGTGTAAACGTGTGGTGTGTAGAAGTGGTGTGCGTGTGTGTGAAAGAGTCGTGTGTGTGTGTGTGAAAGTGCTGTGGGTGAAAGAGTGGTGTGGGACAGGAGTGGGTGTAAAAGTGTTGTGTGTCCAAGACATGAGCGGGAATGTGTGTGTGTGTCAAAAGAATTGTGTGTGTGTGTGAAAGAGTTGTGTGGGACAGAAGTGTGTGCAAAGGTGTGGTGTAAGAACGTGTTATGTGTTAAAGTATGTACAAGTGTTGTGGGGGTGATCATGTTATGTAGCCATAACCGATGTGCCAACACCATGAGTAGAGGTGAATGGCAACCGCCGGTCTTGGCATGCGCGATGTGGCCGAACGCGCAGACCGTCATGACAGCGGACGGTCTGCAGCAGGTTCTTAGCGGATGCACAAGGTTGCCTCTTCGCACGGCCACGCCTGCCACACAAAGTGAAAGTCGATGTCGCCTGCCACGCAAAGTGAAGGCCGATGTCTCCAAGCGCCACGCCTGCCACACAAGCAACCGCAGCGACAACGGCGTCAAACGGGACCCACGCGCGCCACCAGACTCAGAACCAGCCCAGTGCCATACGCGCCACGCCTGCCACGCAAAGTGAAGGCCGATGTCTCCAAGCGCCACGCCTGCTACACAAACAGCCGCGGCGGCAACAGCGTCGAACGGGACCCAAGCACGCCACCAGAGCCAGCCACAAAGTGATGGTCGATGTCGCCAAGCGCCACGCCTGCCACACAAAGTGAAGGTCGATGTCACAAAGCGCCACGCCTGCTACACAAACAGCCGCGGCGGCAACGGCGTCGAACGGGACCCAAGCACGCCACCAGAGCCAGCCACAAAGTGAAGGTCGATGTCGCCAATCGCCACGCCTGCCACACAAAGTGAAGGTCGATGTCACTAAGCGCCACGCCTGCCACGCAAAGTGAAAGCCGATGTCTCCAAGTTCCACGCCTGCCACACAAACAGCCGGGGCGACAATGGCCTCAAACGGGGCCCAAGCGCGCCACCAGAGCTGGCCCAGCGCCATAAGTGCCACGCCTGGCGCGCGAAACGAAGATCCTGCCATGCAAAGTGAAGGTCGATGTCACAAAGTACTACACCTGCCACACACAGTCAAGGTCATGTCACCAAGCGCCACGCCTGCCACGCAAAGTGAAGGCCGATGTCTCCAAGCGCCACGCCTGCCACACAAACAGCCGCGGCGACAACGGCGTCAAACAGAACCCAAGCACGCCACAAGTGCCAGCCCAGTGCCACAAGTGCCACACCTGCCACGCAAAGTGAAAGTCTATGCCCTATGCCGTCAAGTGCCATGCTTGCCACACAAAGTGAAGGTCTATGTCGCCAAGCGCCAAGCCTGCCATGCAAAGTGAAGGCCGATGTCACGAAGCGCCACGCTTGCCACACAAAGAGCCACGGCGACAACGGTGTCAAACGGGACCGAAGCGCGCCACCAGAGCCAGCCCAGTGCCAGTGTGTGTGAGAGAGAGTTGTGTGTGTGTGTGAGAAAGTTGTGTGTGTGAGAGAGAATTATGTGTGAGTAAGCTGTATGTGAGAGAGTTGTGCGTGTGTGTGAGTAAGTTGTGTGTGTGTGTGTAGGAGTTGTGTGTGTGTGTGAGTAAGGTATGTGAGAGAGAATTGTGTGTGTGTGAGCAAGTTGTGTGTAAGCTGTGTGTGTGTGAGAGCTGTGTGTGAGTGAGTTGTGTGTGTGAGAAAGAGTTATGTGTGAGTAAGGTATGTGAGAGAGTTGGGTGTGAGTAAGTTGTGTGTAAGCTGTGTCTGTGAGAGTTGTGTGTGTGTGAGTAAGTTGTATGTGAGTTGTGTGTGAGTAAGCTTTATGTGTATGTGTGTGTGAGTTGTGTGTATGTAAGCTGTATGTGAGAGAGTTGCGTGTGTGTGTGTGTGAGTAAGTTGTGTGTAAGCTGTGTCTGTGAGAGTTGCGCGTGAGTAAGTTGTATGTGAGTTGTGCGTGTGTGTGTGTGTGTGCGTGAGTTGTGCGTAAATAAGTTGTATGTGAGAGAGTTGTGCGTGAGTAAGCTGTGTGTAAGTTGAGTAGTTGTGTGTGAGAGACGGCGGCGGCGGCGGGAGGCAGGAGGCAGGAGGCAGGAGGAGCGGACAATGACACAAATTCAACGAAAACACCTGCCACAGCTTGCCAATAATGACCGCAAAGGCACAGAGCAGCAAGTTCGATGGCCTTACGTTGCCATGCGCCACAGCAGGATTCAAGTCAGCCAGGTAAGCCAACGCGCTGGAGCAACTGATCGCCCAGCTAAAGAGCAAGTCCCTGACACTTTGGCATGGCAATTTGAGACGCAATAGCTGTTTGAATCTGTTCGAAGTCAGAAGTTCAATTAAACTTCCACTGCGCAATCCTGTTTGCAGTCAGTCTTTTAATGGAAGTCACTTTGAATATAATACAATTACGCCGGCATAGACCCCAGATAGAGAAGGTTTCAGAAACGCATGTATATGCCGTGCGAATTGGTTGCGAAAATCGCCGAACTGCTGGTTCCCAAACGTTTGGACCAATGCGTCCCAATCTTAGAACCACGGGCTCCCCATTCGAGGATCTGCTAGTTCCCCAACCAAGTGCTTCCCAATCTTGGAACCGCGGGTTGCCAATTCAAGGAACTAAACCCATGCTTCCCAATCTTGGAACTACGGGTTCCCAGCTCGAGGAACTGATGGCGGCCACATGTTGGAACCAATGCCTCCGAATCTTCGAACCGCGGGTTCCGATTTCGAGGAACTAGCGATTCCCAAACGTTGGAACCAATGCTTCCCAATCTTGGAACCCCGGGTTCCCGTGTTCTCGGAACTAGGTTCCCAAACCTTCTAACCAATGCTTCCCAATCTTGGAACCTTCCCAAGCTTGGAACCCCGGGTTCCCATGTTCTAGGACCCAGCGGTTCCCAAACCTTCGAACCAATGCTTCCCAATCTCGGAACCCCGGGGCCGGTTCCCAGTTCTAGGAACTAGCGGCTCCCAAACGTTGGAACCAGTCCCAATCTTGGAACCCCGGGTTCCCAGTTCTAGGAACTAGCGGCTCCCAAACGTTGGAACTGACGCTTCCCCATCTCGGAAACACTAGTTTCCTTGAAGAATTGCCGTTGGAACCCATGCTTCGCAATCTTGGAAGCTCGGGCTCCTAGTTCTACAAACTAACGGTTCCCAAACCTTGGAACCTTTGCTTCCCAATCTTGGAACCTCGGGTTTCCAAGTTTGAAGAATTCCCAATCTTGGAACCACGGGTTCCCAGTTCTACAAATGAACGGTTTCCAAACTTTGGAACCTGTGTTTCCCAATTGGAACCACAGGTTCCCACTTTGGAACCAATGCTTCCTAACCTTGGAACCACGGGTTCCCAATTTAAAGAACTGCTGGTTTCCAAACCTTGGAACAATGCTTCCCAATCTTGGAACTTCGGGGTCCCAGTTTGAAGAACTGCTGGTTCCCAAACCTTGGAACCAATGCTTCCCAATCTTGGAACCACGGGTTCCCAGTTTTAGGAACTAGCGAATCCCAAACCTTCGAACCAATGCCTCCCAACGTCGAGTTCCCAGTTTTAGGAACTAGCGGATCCCAAACCTTGGAATCAATGTTTTCGAGGCTTGGAACTCTGGGTTTCTAGTTCTACCAAGTGGCAATTCTTTCTCAAGCTGCAACGATAGGCTCCAAGTTAAGAGATCATATTTACTTCGGAATTGCGCACCTCCAAGCGGTCGACGATATGTTTTGAATTTTGGCACAAATTTCATTCAAGAACTATGCCTAAAAAGGTTGTAATATAGGCAACCGATTCAACATACATGTTTGAAATACGTCTTTGTTGTTTTGCTTAATGGTCCACCAAAAAATGCATTTACATAGCATGAACGTTCGCATGAATGTGCTCAATCTTGGAACCCTGGGTTAGCCAATTTTAATTTCAACAGTTTTGTCTGAAAAGGTTGTAACAAAGGCATCCGATTCAACATACATGTTTGAAATGCGTTTTTGTTGTTTTGCTTAGTGGCCCGCCAAAAAGTACACTTACATAGTACATAGCATGTTGCTCTTGATCGAACGTTCGCATCAGTGCTCTCAATCTAGGAGCCACGGATTTCCCAATTTTGATTTCAACAATTACGTTTGAAAAGGTTATAACATAGGCATTCGAGTCAACATATATACATGTTTGAAATATGTTTTTGTTGTTTTGCTTAACGGCCCGCCAAACAGTGCATTTACATCCCATTTCGTTTTTGATCGAACGTTCGCATCAATGCTCTCAATCTTGGAGCCACGGGTTCCCAATTCGGAGAACTTTGGTTCCCAAAAACAACCAGCTCCCCGTTCCAGGAACAAGCTCGTCCCGAATGTGTCATCAGTGATTCCGAATCTTGGAACCACGGGCCCCAGTTCTAGGTTCTCAAACCTTCCAACCAATGCTTCCCAATCTTGGAACCTCGGGTTCCCAGTCCTAGGAACTAGCGGTTCCCAAACCTTCGAACCAATGCTTCCCAATCTTGGAACCTCGGGTTCCAAGATCTCGGAACTAACGCTTCCCAAACCTTGGCACCGATGCTTCCCAATCTTGGAACCTCAGGTTCCCAGTTCTAGGAACTAGTGATGCCCAAACCTTCGAACAAAAACTTGCCAATCCGCCCACACCGCTTTGGCGGTGAAGGCGTGCTTATTGGGGGGCAAAACAGCAACACTAAATGCTCAATGACATTTGTTAATATAGCAGTCGCTATATCAGCTTTAGCTGGGGGGGGGGCAAAAACGGTTTCGCACCGAGACCAGAAGACATTTTTCGATGATTTTTGGGTGTCTGAGCGCAAGAGGGTATTGAAATGGACTGGAATTTTGGGTCATTTTGGTAGCTTTCCGGCAATGGAAAAACGGCCAAAAATGAAAAAACATTGTACATAGCAAGATTTTGCAGGGTTTTTGGATGCCAGAGCATTGAAAACACTGCAAAAACAAGTGTTTTGGACTGACGTTATAGCAAAAAACGTGTAAATTACCGTATGCTTGACTGGAAACATTACAAAAACACTGTCAAAAGCAATGTTTTGGAAGGATTTACTGCCTTTATGGCAAAAAACGTGTAAATTACCGTCTGTTTGACTGGAAACATTGGAAAAACACTGTCAAAAACAATGTTTTGGAAGGGTTTCTTATATATATGTTGGAGTTGGCTACCGGCATTGGAACATGGAAAAATTGAAGAAAACACTGTAAATAGCGGTATTTTCAACGGTTGGGGAGATAAGGGAATTGGAAGCATTGTCGAACATGATGTTTTCGACCGGTTTTATGGCGACAAAAGTGTAAAGTACCGTGCTTTGAAGGAAACCATTGCAAAAACATGGAAACACATTCAAAGAACACGGGATTTGGGGGACTATCTGGGCGTCGTTGTCTAGCTATTTGAAATTCCGCAGCTTGGAGAGCCTCCAAGGGAGGGAAAAGTGAAAATTCCATAGCTTGGGAAGCTGTCACGGCGGGGAAAAGTGAAAATTCCCTAGCTTGGGAAGCCCCCACGGGGGGAAAAGTGAAAATTCCCTAGCTTGGGGAGCCCCCACGGGGGGGAAAAGTGAAAATTCCCTAGCTTGGGGAGCCCCCACGGGGGGGAAAAGTGAAAATTCCCTAGCTTGGGGAGCCCCCACGGGGGGGGAAAGTGAAAATTCCCTAGCTTGGGGAGCCCCCACGGGGGGGAAAAGTGAAAATTCCCTAGCTTGGGGAGCCCCCACGGGGGGGAAAAGTGGAAAATTCCCTAGCTTGGGGAGCCCCCACGGGGGGGAAAAGTGAAAATTCCCTAGCTTGGGGAGCCCCCACGGGGGAAAACCACCCTTAGCCCCTCTCACGGACCGAAATAAACCTGCGGTGTGGGCGGCCACCCCACGCGAAGCGGGGTGAATATTGCAACCTTGGTTCCCAGTTCTAGGAACTAGCGGTTCCCAAACCTTTGAACCAATCCTTCCCAATCTTGGAACCTCCATTTGCACCGATTCTTGCACACGCATTCAAATTGCGCATGTGTAAATGTTTGAAAAAAGCATTGCAAAATGCATATATCATATATATATTTTTTTTTTTATCCGCCGACCCCGGCCTTCGCCAAGGCAGGGGCAGCGCCTGGGACCACCGCTTCAAGCAGGTGTGGAGCTTATATTTGTTCGCTTCAAATGCCTCAATGCTTCGCGGCAGCTTCGCCACAGGCCTTTGTTGTTAGAGCATTGAAGCCTGCCGTTTGCCTCCATGGCCCTCTGTTCTTAGGGCGTTCAAGCCTGCCGTTTGCCGCCAGCCGTCAAACACTTAAAATCCTCCGCGGCAGCTTCGACCACGCACTCTGGCCACAGGCCTTTGTTCTTCGAGGCTTGCAGCCTGCCGTTTGCCTCCATGGCCCTCTCGACCACGCACTCTGGCCACAGGCCTTTGTTCTTAGAGCCTTGCAGCCTGCCGTTTGCCTCCATGGCCCTCTGTTCTTAGGGCGTTCAAACCTGCCGTTTGCCAGCCGTCAAAAGCTTAAAATCCTCCACGGCAGCTTCGACCACGCACTCTGGCCACGGCACTCTGGCCACAGGCCTTTGTTCTTCGAGCCTTGCAGCCGCCGTTTGCCTCCATGGCCCTCTGTTCTTATAGGGCGTTCAAGCCTGCCCTTTGCCAGCCGTCAAAGGCTTAAAATCCTCCGCGGCAGCTTCGACGAGGCACTCTCCTTTGTTCTTAGAGCCTTGCAGCCTGCCGTTTGCCTCCATGGCCCTCTGTTCTTAGGGCGTTCAAGCCTGCCGTTTGTCAGCCGTCAAAGGCTTACAATCCTCCGCGTCAGCTTCGACCACGCACTCTGGCCACAGGCCTTTGTTCTTACGCCTTGTGGCCCAGGCCTTTGTTCTTCGAGCCTTGCAGCCGCCGTTTGCCTCCATGGCCCTCTGTTCTTATAGGGCGTTCAAGCCTGCCGTTTGCCAGCCGTCAAAGGCTTAAAATCCTCCACGGCAGCTTCGACCAGGCACTCTCGCCACAGGCCTTTGTTCTTAAAGCCTTGCAGCCTGCCGTTTGCCTCCATGGCCCTCTGTTCTTAGGGCGTTCAAGCCTGCCGTTTGCCAGCCGTCAAAGGCTTAAAATCCTCCGCGGCAGCTTCGACCACGCACTCTCGCCTTAGGCCTTTGTTCTTAGAGCCTTGCAGCCTGGCGTTTGCCTCCATGGCCCTCTGTTCTTAGGGCGTTCAAGCCTGCCGTTTGCCAGCCGTCATCCTCCGCGGCAGCTTCGACCACGCACTCTGGCCACAGGCCTTTGTTCTTAGAGCTGTGCAGCCGACTCCATGGCCCTCTGTTCTTAAGGCGTTCAAGCCTGCCGTTTGCTAGCCGTCAAAGGCTTGAAATCCTCCGCGACAGCTTCGACCACGCACTCTGGCCACAGGCCTTTGTTCTCAAAGCCTTGCAGCCTGCCGTTTGCCTCCATGGCCTCTGTTCTTATAGGGCGTTCAAGCCTGCCGTTTGCCAGCCATCAAAAGCTTAAAATCCTCCGCGGCAGCTTCGACTACTACGCGCTCTGGCCACAGGCCTTTGTTCTTAGAGCCTTGCAGCCTGCCGTATGCCTCCATGGCCCTCTGTTCCTAGGGCGTTCAAGCCTGCCGTTTGATGCATGGCGGATTTTCATGGCACGAAGCCAGCCGTCAAAGGCTTAAAATCCTCCGCGGCAGCTTCGACCAGGCACCCTCGCCACAGGCCTTTGTTCTTCGAGCCTTGCAGCCTGCCGTTTGCATCCATGGCCCTTCTGTTCTTAGGGCGTTCAAGCCTGCCGTTTGCCAGCCGTCAAAGGCTTAAAATCCTCCGCGGCAGCTTCGACCACGCACTCTGGCCACAGGCCTTTGTTCTTGGAGCCTTGCAGCCTGCCGTTTGCCTCCATGGCCCTCTGTTCTTAGGGCGTTGCCGTTTGCCAGCCGTCAAAGGCTTAAGATCCTCGGCGGCAGCTTCGACCAGGCACTCTGGCCACAGGCCTTTGTTCTTAGAGCCTCGCAGCCTGCCGTGGCAGCTTCGACCAGGAACTCTGGCCACAGGCCTTTGTTCTTAGAGCCTTGCAGCCTGCCGTGGCAGCTTCGACCAGGAACTCTGGCCACAGGCCTGTGTTCTTCGAGCCTTGCAGCCTGCCGTTTGCATCCATGGCCCTCTGTTCTTAGGGCGTTCAAGCCTGCTGTTTGCCAGCCGTCAAAGGCTTAAAATCCTCCGCGGCAGCTTCGACCACGCACTCTGGCCACAGGCCTTTGTTCTTGGAGCCTTGCAGCCTGCCGTTTGCCTCCATGGCCCTCTGTTCTTAGGGCGTTCAAGCCTGCCGTTTGCCAGCCGTCAAAGGCTTAAGATCCTCGGCGGCAGCTTCGACCAGGCACTCTGGCCACAGGCCTTTGTTCTTAGAGCCTTGCAGCCTGCCGTGGCAGCTTCGACCAGGAACTCTGGCCACAGGCCTTTGTTCTTGCAGCCTTGCAGCCTGCCCTTTGCCCTCATGGCCCTCTGTTCTTGGGGCGTTCAAGCGTGTCGTTAAAATCATTTACAGAGAACGCGATGAGAATAAACATACCAGGGATTTTATTTTCTAAGGGCTCCCACATGTGGAACCCCCAGGAGTTCCATTTTCTAAAGGTCCTCTGGGTGGAGAGCGCCTAACACGTGTAGAAAAAAACACCTATGTAATATGTGTCGAAACAAATGCCTGTTTCATGGCCTCCCCCGCCCACTGATTTAATAGGGGAAAATCCAGGGGCATGGTTAGATTGCGGTTGTGAGGCTATGGCAAAATCCAAGGTAGGGCTAGAATATACCAAAATCGTCCGCTCCGGCTCGGCGGCTTCAGCCCATTGAAATGCTCGAAAAGGGATTGTGGAAGATCGCCTCTCTAGAAAATCAAGGACCACTAGAAATCTATGAACGTACTCCCAAAAATGCTAAGATTATGCTTCAGGATTTTGGGCGCCTAAACTCTCCAGAAAATCAGCATCTTACGACTCAGAGGTCTCCAAAAGTTGTTCTTTAGAAAATTAGAGAGACTTCGAAAGCATCATTTCAGCAAATTCGAGCTGTTCGAAGGACAGAAAATCAACCCTCCTCAGGGGGTTAACCCCCGTGAAATCCTAGAGGAAACTCATACCGGTATGATAACAGGCGGAAATTTGGGGCTGAAACCAAATAGTAGCCATTTTGGGACTCGGGCTGTCTTTTAGCCTGAACATCAATTCAGGCGAGATTGTCCGTTCAGGCTGGAAATGCCATCTTGAGCATAATTGCAGAAAGCATTTCCAGGCGAGAATTTAGAGGCAGGCGAGATTTCAAAGGTCAGGCAGAAAAAAAGGTCCGAACACGTTCAGGCTCAAATTCTGGCCTGAGGGTGCTCTAGGTATATGTGTGTATCTCCGCCGACCCCTGCCTAGCCCCCCTCTTAATGGGGGGGTCGGCGGCACCAGGGCGTTAGCCCATATATTTATTCATTTATTTTTTCTTATTTATTTATTTCTGTATTTATGTATTTATCATCTATTTATTTTTTATTTACTTATTTATCTGCATCTATTTATTTATATATATATATACATATAACTCATCAAATGTTGGCACACACCACAAAAAGTAGCCTGCTTCGTCACTGCCCGCTAGACAAGAGCGTCCACAGGAGGCTGCTAATGCACAGCACCACAGCACCCTCCACACCACCTTACGCAGCACCCTGCACAGCACACGGCCTGCACAGCACCCTTCACACGCCACCGCAGCCTCCCAAGCAGCCTGGCAGCCTGCGAAGCACCCTGGACAGCACCCCCATGGCCAAACTTCGCCACAGCACGCTAAACAGCAGCCTGCACCTCACTCTGCCTGCACAGCACCCTGACAGCACCCTGACAGACCCTGCACAGCACCCTGCACAGCACCCTGCACAGCACCCTGCACAGCACCCTGCACAGCACCCTGCACAGCACCCTGCACAGCACCCTGCACAGCACCCTGCACAGCACCCTGCACAGCACCCTGCAGCAGACCTCGCCACCGCAGCCTCCCAAGCAGCCTGCACGGCACCCTGCACGGCACCCTGGCCAAACTTCGCCACAAAGTTCGCCACAAAGTTCGCCACAAAGTTCGCCACCGAAGACCTGACCTTTGAGAAGTACAAAAAGTATTGACTTTGCCGACTTTGCCTTAAGATAAGGTGGAAATAAATTGCTGGCCTTGGGGGTACCCACGGCCGGTGACTTTCCAAGCGCTTGCTCCTGGTAAACAAACGCAACAATGCTGACGCAATGTAGAAGCACTCCCCCAATCAAAGCAGCAGAATGCGTTGCTGAGTTCCAATCAATGGAAACATGTTGCACCGATTGGTTCGATAAGATTGCTCTGGAAGGCTCCTTAGGTATCGCTCCAGATCTCCACCTGGCATGTACTCCATCACCAGAGACACTTTCTCTTCACTGATGCACGTGGCACCGTAGAACTTGGCCAAGTGCGGACCTGAGTTTCACATTGTCTGCTGAAAATCAGAAGCGACTGCCATCTCCGTATGAAGCAAATAACATTCAAAGACGACAGAGTCGGAACTCAAAGCTTTTAGCTTTTGCATTAGAGCGCAACCAAAACAAAACAAAGATAATTACAGTATATGATATTATATTATTATATGTATACTGGATTCCTATGGCACTGGACTATACCCAAAAGGTCCTTTCTGCACCTGGCCAGTCTGTTGGGGCATTTGCTGCTTGTTTTTAGCAGGTTCCAAAACGATAGAATTGGACCTACCTTGCCCTGCAAATTTACCATAAACGGGGAGCCCACTAGGAAGAGAGGGTTCGAGAAACAGTGGCTTGTGAATCTCAGTGGCATTCTGGCTGAACCAGCCTCTATGCCACTGTTGTTTCTCAGGCAGTATCAGAGACAGCGATCGCTTATCCTTTGCAAAGCCAAGCAACAGTGGCTGTTGTGCAGCTCTGAAAGCAAGCGACGCAGGCATTGTTCGTCATGCTTGAACCGAGCAAGCAAATCGCTTCGCGCCTCAGTTGGAAGTGCCATGCAGCTGCAGTGGCGTCTTGTGACTCGACTACAGCTGCTGCCGTATGTTTCAGAGCCATATAGTCTTTCTTTGTGGAGTCACATGACATGGAACCGCGAGATTCATCAACTCGGATGAAGCAACCCACTTCCAATGGCACCCTGATGCATCAAACGCATTTGAATCATTTGAATGCCATATGCAGTTCATATTTGCAAAATTTTGCAAATGTGTCTTCATGTGTCTTCCCATTACTGTCTTCCTGCTTCAGAAACTCCATAGCTGCCGTGGGACGACACGTTTTGCAACCACTGGCATCCCTTTCCAGTTTGCGTACTCTGCAGGGTTGCGTCCACCCCGCTCATCTTCTGGATCCAACCGCTTGTACCGGACGAGCTCATCTGCAGTTGCTGGCTGATGTCACTCAAACGTGTCCTAAGCCTTGAAGCTGTAACAGTACTGTAACATGTTTGGAACCGGCTGCAAGTCTTCTGCAAGGAATTTTGAGCACAAAGTTGAAAGAGTTTGTGTACGAGCAAGTCACTCACCAGGCCTCCTGGAATTTGCCAGCTAGGGGTCGCGTCAGCTTTTGCCATGGACATCGCGTATTTCGCGGC